TTTTGCCCCCCGCCCCCCCCCCCCCCCCCAAGATCAAAACTGTCAAGGCAAAAATAAGGGAAATAATGTGAATTTTTTTATACAGCACACACAACAACTATAAAGTTTCAGGATATTAGTGGCATGATTCATGTTCATGAGCAGTCATTGTAAGTCCTGCCAGGCAATCCTTCTGCCAGCTAAGTTACAAAATACTACCTTCTAACGTTTATCAAACAATTGCTTGGCATAATTCTTAAGAAAAGCAGTCCCTTTAAAAACAATCTTTCCTGGTTTTCTTGTAATCATTACTTACAGGCAATCTTAAGCTAATGTCAACTGCATTCCTTGAGATCTCACAGCGAAAAGATTAATTCAAGACTACTTCAGTATAAAATTAAAAGCTAGAGAATAACTGCCTGAATAGTTCCTTGAAAAAGCTATCTTGTGGAAGAAACTAGTTCACTTACTCTGATAAAGTAAAACTCATCAAGTATGTTATCAATTAATTACTTGAATTTACAAGAACAATATTTTCATTAAAACATTTCATTAAAAAGGAATTAACTGAGTCCACAGCAGATCAACTACCAAACTCACTGATCTCAAAGTATTATTGTTACCAGGCAGACATCTCTGAAGGACGTGCACCAAGGACTTCCAGCCCCATTTAACATGTCAGCAGCCCAGGCCACGATAAATAATCTGTACCAGGAAGTCTGTAAGTGCCACAGGTGTCTGTGACCTATCAAAATACTGAGGAGCAAAGGTTATGGTTAAAGAGTTAATTTGAAACCCCTGGCCAAATTATGAACTCACAGGGAACACATGTGCCTGTCTTATTCAAAGCTCCTTATCAATAACAAGACCGTAAGAGCTAGTGGTATTGCTATCCCTGACTGACAGAAATTTTAGCTTCCTAACCTCTGCAATGCTTTATTTAAAGCAGACTTGTGCTCAACATGGGTGTAACCAGGCACAACTGTACTTGCCTCAGGAAGTCAAAGCACAGGCACTAGGAATATGAGGGGCATCCTTCAAAAGATACCAGGGGTGAAGGGCCTGAGCTAACACTCCACTTAAGTCGGTAAATCTCTGAATACACAAGGACTAGGTTGGTCAGTCTTTAAACTTAACCTTAGTTAAACTTTAGTAGGAATAATGCAAAAGTTTTCCAAGCATCTTAATTCTCAGAGCTTTAGTATTCCTAGAGTAGTTTTTAACTACTTATTTAAAAGTTATGGATTTTAGCCTAGTTTATTACCACACAGGATTTTTCACTACTTACTCTAAGCTCTTGTGTAACAGGTATTCACAAGCATCATATAGATTACTTCAGGATGAAAGCGGTTATCAATCATCGGGAGCCAATTACTAAGACAAACCAGGTTCAGCTGCTGGATCCCAGTTTCTCCTCAACCCAGCACTGGTGTATCCTACCGATACCGCACCCCCTCACCCTCCCAGACGCCTGACAGCCCCAGCAGTCGCGGTGCCCAAACACCCTCCCTTCGGGAGCTGCCCTCGCTGCACACACCATCGTTTTCTCGCCGCCTGTCACCCGGCCGCCCGCTCGCAAGTGGACCGGAGCGGACATCGATACTCGGACACGGGCGCCAGAAGACAGCAGCTCGGGGGCGGGGGGCGATCTCCACACAAAATCCCCTCAAGAATCACCCTCCGAAGCAGAGATGCGTCACCTGTTGTTCGACAACGCCGTCACGCTACCTTCCCACAAGACTTTTCCTACTTGGGGACGGCAACGTGCAAAGCCTCTTTAGACACCAAACGGCGAGAGAGGAGGGGAGACCAGGCTTGTGCTCCGCAAACGGGGCGG